CAGGCGGCTGGGGCCCGCTAGTGACGTTCCTGCCGGCTTTGTGGAAGTTTTCCGCAGACCACAACTTTTGCGAAGAGAGAACCTCGGAAAAACAACTGCGCGGCGCTTACTTCCGAAGGCGCGTTGGCGGGACACCCAGAACCTGTAATATACATCAGTGTGTGTGCGTGTGTGTGTGTGTGTGTGTGTGTGTGTGTGCTGTCTGTCCTTTTCTCCCCTGGCAGGCTATGAGGCCCCACCGAAAGCCCGGGCGTTGCTAGAAATTTCTCTCCCTAAGGCCCACTGGGCGAGTGCACATTGCCGCCAACTGGATAGACCTGCCCGGGAACTGGGAAAGAGCGCGGGCGAGGAAGCCTATTGTTGCGGTGGTGGTGGTTCAACAAACCACAAATCACTCGATGGCGGCCCGGAGGGGTTCGAAAAGTCCTTACAAACTTTTGTTCTTAGCACTTTAGGAAAGAAAGGGCTTCACCAGGCATGGAGCGTTTTTCGCTTTAGGCAGAGAAGCTCTCGCCGGTGTGGAATTAAGCCAAACCCTCGCAAGCCGCCCACGCCAGGCAAGGAGGAACTGTCCACTCCTACCTCACTCCAGTTCTGGGCACGTCCTGCCAGGGCGCTGTGGAGGCAGGATGACCTCACCCACGAAAGAGGAAGAGGCCGGCGGGGTGCCGCGGGGTTCATACTATACCGAGGGTATTAGAAGCCCAGAACCTCCTCTGAGGCCAGCACACAGAATGGGTGGCCTGAGCTTGGCCTACCCCTCTCCTTGTCTGGCCTCACCCAAAGACAAGTTTTCCTCTCTCCCAGCCACTGGCTGTGCAGGAAGCCCTGGCTGGTACCTGACACTACTGGGCACCGTCCTCCTGGGGACCACACTGCCACTGGGACTGCTGTAAAAGGGCTGACCAGCTGACCCAACTCCCATTGCAGCCCCAGAGGGGAGCCTAAGTCCCATGAATTTGGAGTCTGGGCTGTATTTTGGTGTTCTCGGTACTTCCATCTGGGGTCAGGAAGCTAAGCAGTCAGGCCCGCATTCTCCCAGGCCCAGGGTGCAATGGGAACATCTTACCCCTCGCTCGCCCCACACAGCTCTGCTCTGCAGCCTGACTCCTGCAAGAGATGAGATCAGGATTCTCTGGGAGAGAGGAAGGAAGGAGAGTTTAGTGGTTTGCTGGGAGGCCCATAGACCAACCCCAACCCACACCCTGTGGAGGGGTCAAGATTCAGAGAAGATTGGGACAGAGGGGATCCCTCTCCCCGATGCAAATCAGAGGCCTGGGAGCCCCATGGCACACACCAGGCGCCAGCACGGCCCAGCACCCTCAGGTCTGATCCTTAGTATTCCCTCTCTGCTTATTTGGGTCCTTTGAACCCCTTTTTCTCCAGGAGTTGGACAGGGCTGGGCTAAGCAGGCTCTCCAGGCATCCTCTTTTGCCAAATCTTTTAGCTCTTTTAAAAAAATTGCAAGATGAACCAATTCACATTGGCAGTTATTGGGAGTTAACTTTTTTCTCCAGGATGCCCCATTAACCAATTAAACCACCAAGTGTAACCGTTGAGGCAAAAGTGGTTGTGGTTGTGGATGTCGTTCGGACTATGGAGCCAGATTTTTTTCCCCTGTCTTGTCATTTTCTAATTGGTGACTGTGGCAAGCAAGTTACTTCATCCACGTTGTGCCTGTTTTCCCATTAATAAAAGGGAAATGATCATAGTTGCTCCCTTTGCAGAGTGGTAGTGGGCTTAAAAGAGTTAACGGTCTTTCCGATAAAGCTAGGCACACAGTAGGCCCACCCTTAGGTGTCCGCAGTCGCTGCTCTCGGCCTCATTTTCCTTTGTAAAAACGGCCCCATTCCAGTCCTCCCAGGCCCCAGCTGAAGTTTGGAGAGACTTTACCCAGCTGCCGTTTAGCCTCCCTCCCGTGGAACTCGGAGCTCCTGAAAAACTTCTTAATAAAGTCATGTTCGAAGCGTTTATTAAAAATGCAATGCTGGGAGATCAAAGTACAATATTTATTTTAGAAATTTGTTGCAATCACCAAGAGATACAGGTATCAAGGCCAAATGTCAGTTCCGTTACACAAAGCCGGTGCCGGAGAGGAGCGTGTGGCTGCCCTGCCATACTGTAGAGAGACATCAAAGACCGAGCGCGAGGCGCAGGAGCGCAGCCGGCAGGGAGGGAGCAAGCCCAGGAGGGCCGGGCGCGCCCCAGACGGCGGTTGGGGGCGGGGGCTGCGAGAGTGGGGGTCATTTCAAAGGTATCCGCTGGGGCTCGAGTTCACAGGAGAGAAGATTTAATGGGCTTTCTTTTGTCGGTGGGCGGGTTTGTGCGCCGCGGACCTAGGAACTCCTACGTGGTCCTCCCGCCTGGGGGCAGAGGCGTGGGGAAAAAAGCAAACAGGAGCAAACTTTAGCCGCGGCGGGGGCAAGGAGGTCGGACACCAGTCTCCTGGCCGTGGCTGGCACAGCGAGCCGCCCTCCAAGCTGCGAGTTTCGAGGCTGGGAAGTTTGCATCGCAGTTTCCTCGCGGGCGGGAGGCAAGCACGGTGCAACCTGCAAGCAGAGCCGAGTAGGTGAACCCGCAGAGGCTCTAAAGCGGCGGGTGGAGGATGGGATAGGCCAGGGTGGGCTTGGGTAGGAGAACAGACCTGCTCTGCGCGCTCCGAGATTACTCCGGGATCAGGTCTTGGGGTTGCTCTTTCAAGCGCAAGCCTGGTACCTTGAAAATCCCTCAGGCATTTTCTTCCCAGCAACCAGCGACCCATGTCTCTGGCGTTAACCCAACCAGACATTCACCTCTCTCCAGATGATTTTTAAAAAAATCTATACATTATTTAGGTCATTTCAACAATTTTTAAAAACTCATTGGCCTTTTACAGCAGTATGTTGCTTAACAGGCCCTTTCTCTGCAACGCTCAACTTTCCAGTTGTCCGCATCTGCCTAGTTAATACAATACCAGTAAAAGGTGCTGGGAGTGGAGGAAGAATTTTCCTGTGCTAATGGGGAACTGAGTGACAGGAGGATGTCTATGTCTGCCTAGATAATACAATACCAGTTGTTGCTTTAGTAAAGGTGCTGGGAGTGGAGGAAGAATTTTCCTGTGCTAATGGGGAACTGAGTGACAGGAGGATGTCTATGCATGTCTTCAGTCATCTACAACCAAATATTCTCAAAGCAGTCACAGGGCAGCCTTTTGAAGTTGTCCTAGAGCGGTAAGCTGCTATTGTTCCCACCTGTACATGGAAGGATCAAACTTTGCCTCTTCAATTTGATTTTTTAAAAAATGGTGATTGGGGGAGGATTGCAATCTGATACTCTGAGTTAACTTTGAGGATTCCATACCATCTTCCAATTTAAGTTGCAGACCAAATCACAGATGCTCCAGTGCCTGCATCTGTAATAGCGGGTCTTCCTCACCAGTAGGGTGGGGTGTCCAGTTGTAAGCAACAGTATTTCTAGGAACCTGGCTTGGTGACCGAGTGTTTCCCTGCAGTTTCCCTTTCAAGGAAATGGGAAAGTTTCCTCTACTAATTTTAAGCTTAAACTTCCAAATTGGATCAATATACAATGGACATAGATCTAAAAGGGATGGTTTATTTGATCAGATTCTACTCCCTTATTTGGTGGTGAAAGGAAACAGTTTGCATGATGTGTCATGCCCTGACAGTGCTGTGAACATCAGTAGATGCTCAAAACAAATGTTCACCGGTGTCCGGTGGTTGAATGGAATTGAGTATCAATGTCAACCGCCTGATTGCCTGGGGCTACAGGGCACAGATGGAGTAGCCCTCAGAGGAGAGTGTGAGGGCTGGTGAAAGGAGGAAAGCTTTAGCAAGGAGTTGGGGTTTGGAGGAGCCTTTAAGGAGTTAGAGAATCTTAAGGTGGTACAAAGAAAAGAAGAAGGTAGAGGGGAAAAGGGACCGTAGAGGAAAGCAAACTCCTTTCTTAGTGAGGGGATGACCAATGATGATGTTGGGCCTTTTGATTTGCTGGTGTAGACAAGGTGGAGCGGGATAAGAAAAGTCAAGGAGAGGAGTTGCCACCCCCACCCCATATATAGTAGAGATTACTCCTGAGCAGGTGAATAATGTGAATTTAACTCCATTTCTAATAACTCCTTTCCTGGTAGAGTTGGCTTGCAGAGAGCCTGA